TATGAAATATCATTCCACCATTTCCTACCAGAGCAGGAGTTCTCTCAGGGTCCCCTATCAACATTCCTCCCTTATCAATATTGGAATTCATGTCATTGCTGCTTATTGGTCATTGCTGATGCAGATTAGCTGTTTTATTTACCGAACACAAAAGTCACTACGTGTTATTCAACGTAACTAAATATGTTAAGTACATTGTGATGTTTTGATGTCATAAGAGAGTATATCAAATGCAGTTATTATTAGAATTAAATTTGACATTATGAATATTTTAACTTTGTGATTGAATACATATGAATATTTAAACGATGTGACTGAATTTATTTTAAAATTGAAATTGGCCATCAACCACTGAATGAAAATAGAGTTTCTGACAACGTCCTGTCTGTTTGAGCGTCCAAATTCCCAATGGCTAGGAATTAAACAGTGTGGAATACAGACTGTAATGCTAAAAAGTCGACTCAGCATTGCATTGCATGACTATTTTCTATTTAAAATTAAGAGTTCTCTTTGGAAAAGTATTTCCAATGCTTCTGTTAATACTCTGATTATACTGCACTCAGAAGGAGCTCCGAGTTTTCAGGTCACAGAGTGACTCAGCTATTTCTGCAGGATGTCAAAATTGTTAAAAATACACCATCAGTTGTTCAACAGGTATTCTTTTTATTCTTGATGCAAATCTAATGCTGGTCATCACAAAATGAATAACTGCCAGCCAAATGCACATAACCGAGTGTCAGATCTTCTTTGATAATGGAATGTTTGGTATTGCTGAGTGTTCCCAGTAACTTCTGATGCTGTCATGGTAATGGGCAGAATAATGCACAAGCAGGAGACTTCACAAAATGTATATGGGTAAGACTTTAAGGGGGAGACTTTCCCAGGAATATCCTTCCTTGTTAAATGGGCTGTGTGCTCTGTTTTGAACACAACTGTAATATAGCTTCATTTCTTAACCGAATACCTTTCAAGTTAATTTTCCTCCTCCATCCCTATCTCATGTATCCTGGCCAACAATTCCCCAAAATAAAATTGTCATTCATTTCATGGCTGTTTGTGGAACACTGCTGTGCCCAATAGGGCTGCCGTTTTCACCTACAAATACATAGTCACTCTACTGTTACTAATGTGATATCAAATGTAAGGATTAGTAGTAGTACTAGTCAGCCCTAAAATTGGTTTAGTGTTGTTGAGCTAGGAATGGGAAAATTCACTCAAGTTTCCTTTTAAAATCCCATCCAGGGCCTCCTGCAAGTATACGCTGATGTGAGCTGTGTGATAGTCACATGCTCCATGAGCCGACTGATGCTCCCTGTATAAGTTCACGGATGATGAGCTCCTGGATGATCATCAGTAGCTATAGAGATGCACACCAGCATACATCGCCATCATTAGGAGAGACATTAATAAATAATAATCCTTACATCTAGGCTGTCTTTCACGTCTGGAGGATGGCTCAAAATACTACACATGTTTACTGTAAGTGTACTAACTGCATCTTGTAGGCGAACCATGTGACAAACAGAAATATTGTGACTTTTAAAATTCCACATTGAATTTGTTCAGAATTTGTTCAGGTGCTGTATATTGTAGTATTCTCTGTTAACTACCATCTAAGTATCTGTGAGTAAACTATTTAAGTGCGTAGATACATTTCTGGAAGATCCATTTGTGTACTCATGTCAGAAGCCATTCAATTCCCCAGGGTGTGGCTAATCACAGAGGCAACAACCAAGGAAGAATGAAGGTCAGCAGTGCACCCAGATAAAGCATAAATCACTCATGTTATCACCACTGTAGGTCAATGAATAAAATAGCATGGCAAGTACAGTATAATTTGGTTTCTATTGAATTATATAACAACAACAGCTTGCACGTATATAGCGCCCTTCACGCAGGGTAGCGTTTCAGAGCGCCTAACAGTGGTGGAGCCTGACTCCGAGACTGGGGACATATATATCCTATGTGTATTTGGAATAGGAAATAAGGGGCAATGTTGCCAAACTAATCCTTTAATAGACGTCTGCCATTGTCCCGTCTCAAGACCCACCTCTTTGATCGAGACTTCAATCATCTTCCTATCCCTACCCTCCCTGCCCTCCATCCCTCCTGATCCCAACCCCCAGCTCAGGTCTAAATCCCTGACTGTCAAGCACCTAGGAATATAACACTGTGAAAGGTGTTGTACAAAAATGCAATTTGTTGTGGTACCATGAATGTTGTAAATATCAATGAGGGGAAATTAAAGCAATAAAATGTTTATGGTTTAACAGGGTGTGTGGTAATCTTTACTTTGGTCAGCTGGGTGTCTGACACATGCAGAAACTTAACTTCATTCTCCATAACATACAAAGAAAATAAAAAATTGATGTAGCCTCATTAAAGCAGAGAGGGAACAGTCAAACTGTTTTTTTTTGGTCAGCCAGATTCTGACACATGCGGAAACCCATCACCATGCTCAAGAGTACTCAAACCAAATTGAGATTTCCATGCATCCCACCTACACATAGAAATCCCAGAGATAGATTGTTGAAATGGAATCCGCACTCTCTCCCTGAAGGGATGCATCATGCTTGCCTAATTCTGGAAATTATTAGGCGCAGGTTGGCAAGAGCCAAGCCTGAGTGTGCATTGGGGTACTGCTGGAGTCCAACCAGCTAAGACTGTATAGCTTGCCATTAACTTTGCTGTCCAGCAAGCTTTCCGGCTGCTTGTCCAGCTAGGACCATTATACTTAACCAACCACCTCCACTTCATCTCAGCAAATACTTTCTCCTTCTGTCATGCCCAGTTACCTGCAGGGTACCCCAGGGCTCCATCCTTGGACCCCTTCTTTTCCTCATCTATATGCTCCCCCTCTGGGTGATGTCATTCACAGACACAGGTTAAACTTTCACATGTATGCGGATGACACACAAATCTACGTTGTGTCCTCCAGTATCAACTCCAGGTCTGCCAATGTTCTATCAGCTTGTCTAGCAGACAACAGGGCCTAGATGAGTGCAAACTTCCTGCAGCTGAATGTCGACAAGATGGAAGCCATACTCTTTGGCTTCAATCAACATCTTCACTCCTGCGGATCTAAATTCCTCAACCTCCCTGGGCTCTTCCTCAAACTCACTGAACCAGTGCACAATCTAGGCGTCCGGTTCAACCCTTAGCTGTCCTTCCTCCCGGTGATGTACCTGGTCTCTGACCAGGACCACCTTCCTCCACCTCCACCACATTGCCTGACATCAACCGTACAAGAACAACAACAAGATTACATTTGTATATTGCCTTTCACGTCGGGAGGATGTCCCAAGGCGCTGGACGGTGTACAGCATTTCAGACCCGAGCAGGGCCTCGCTCCACCCTATCTCTGCGACCTCCTAACTCCCTACCCAAAATGCAGCTGAAACCCTCGTTCATGCATTTGTCAACTCCCGCTTGGATTACTCAAACACACTCCTCGCTCGTCTCCCCAGCTCCACTATTCAAAAAATCCAACTCATTCAGAATTCTGCTGCCCGCATACTGACCCGGACCAAACTCCGTACCCACATCTCACCAGTTCTGGCCAGGCTCCATTGGCTCCCCAACACCGAATGGATCGACTTCAAGATCCTCACACTCGTGTTCAAATCCATTCACTCCCTGGTACCTCCCTACCTCTCTGACCTCCTCACTCCCCAATCCACCCCTGGCACCACCATTCGACTGGCACTGGCCTCCTACTTGTCCCTCGCACCTTTTGCTCCACCATTGGAGGTTGCGCTTTCAGCCACTACGCCCCAAAACTGTGAACACTCTCCCTCAATCCCTCTGCTTTGCCCCTTCTCTCTCCTTTTCTGAAGTCCTGCCTGAAAACTTGCCTTTTCGACCATGCTTATGGTCACCTCCACACTCCCCCCGGCTTGGAATCAGCTGCGCCACTGCTAACAACAACAACAACAACTTGCATTTACATAGCGTCCTCTATGCCGGGCGGCATCTCAGAATGCTTTGAGCAGTGTTAAGCGCTCTGAAACACTACCCTGCATGGAGGGCGCTATATAAGAGCAAGTTGTTGTACGTCTATCCTACCTGTCAGGGCTTTGGTTTGCATGGTTACATGAGCTAGATAACAGATTGAGTATTTTTTCATCTTATTTATTTCCCTTAATATTCACATTTATAATTCAATAACAAAGAAGATGTCCTTATCCTTATCTATCCAAAACATAAGTTAATACATTAATTATGTCCTATTCAATGGATAGAACCAGATCTGTTACACATTGCTTGTTAGAAGCAGGACTCGTTCAGATTTTTAAAAATGTGACCCACTTTAGTGAAATAAAGCCTAAAAATGCTAGAAATAACGCAGAACTCCATCTCCAAGACAACAGTAAATTAGCATTCCTAGAGGTCATACAGTAATGTAGAGGAATTCTACAGTTTCAGTGCTTTTTTAGTTCAAATTCCTGAAATTAAAAACACTTTTATCTCAAATGTCCATACTTTGATATTTGCTTTGATCTATATAATAATAATAATAATAATAATAATAATCCTTGCATTTGATATAGCGCTTTTCACGTCGGGAGGACGTCCCAAAGCGCTTCACAGAATAGACTGTAAAGTGAATTGACTGTATATTTGTGGGCGAACGCGGCAGCCAATTGCGCACAGCAATGTCCCACAAACAGTCGTAGATTGAAAATGACCAATTTATTATTGTTTTTGGATTTTGGAGGGATTATTATTAGGCTCTGTGTGGAGTAAGGAAACTTGCCCAAGGTTTCGCCCTCTGTCTGGAATTGAACTCAGGTCTCTCACTTGCAAAGCGAGTGCTCTAACCACTGAGCTACAGGACTCCATATAAATCTGGTTGATCCTGGATCATTCTGTCTCTCTCCGAAAAATAACAGGCTTGGCAGGTCAAATGACACCAATCGAGTGGCAAACGAAATAAGGAGAAATAATAGGGGAAAGTGTGTTTATTTTTCCTTAGCAATTAGGAAAAAGTGCCTACTTACGCTTGGGTGCCTCTTGACTTGATGCCACACGAACTGAAGCATGTTTGGAGGCGCTTGTCGGGCTGGCTGTGGGGCTGGGCTGGGCTGAGCTGGGCTGAGCTGGGCTGGGCTGGGCTGAGCTGGGCTGAGCTGGGCTGGGCTGGCTGTGGGGCTGAGCTGGGCTGGGCTGGCTGTGGGGCTGGGCTGGGCTGGGCTGGGCTGGGCTGGGCTGGGCTGGCTGTGGGGCTGAGCTGGGCTGGGCTGGGCTGGGCTGGCTGTGGGGCTGGGCTGGGCTGGGCTGGCTGTGGGGCTGAGCTGGGCTGGGCTGGGCTGGGCTGGCTGTGGGCTGAGCTGGGCTGGGCTATGGGCTGGACTGAGCTGGGCTAGGCTGGGCTGGGCTGGCTGTGGGGCTGAGCTGGGCTGGGCTGGGCTGGGCTGGCTGTGGGGCTGGGCTGGGCTGGGCTGGCTGTGGGGCTGAGCTGGGCTGGGCTGGGCTGGCTGTGGGGCTGAGCTGGGCTGGGCTGGGCTGGGCTGGGCTGGGCTGGCTGTGGGGCTGGTGGGCTGGGCTGGGCTGGGCTGGGCTGGGCTGGGAGGGTACAGCGCTGCTCTCACTCTCACTCTCAGGGAACCTCAATGTCACTGCGTCTCCGAGTTCCCAATCCGCAGTACGTATTGTAATGCAATAATGCAATGCGATGTAATGTGATGCTCAGTACGTGAGCTCCCTCACTGCCTCCTGGGCTGGGCTGGGCTGGGCTGTCCTGGGCTGGGCTGGGCTGTCCTGGGCTGGGCTGGGCTGTCCTGGGCTGGGCTGTGCTGTTCTTCGGCTGTGCTGGGCTATGCTGTGCTGTGCTGGGCTATGCTGTGCTGGGCTGTGCTGTGCTGGGCTATGCTGTGCTGGGCTATGCTGTGCTGTGCTGTGCTATGCTGTGCTGGGCTGTGCTGTGCTGTGCTGGGCTGTGCTGTGCTGGGCTATGCTGTGCTGTGCTGGGCTATGCTGTGCTGGGCTGTGCTATCCTGTGCTGGGCTGTGCTGTGCTGGGCTGCCTCCCCTCCTGCTCAAGCCAACACCCCGCAGAGGTCACCTCAGAGATGTGCAAAGCCCCGGGACAGCCTCCGCCACCTGCACTGCACTGCACTGCGGTTTGTTGTCGTTACTGTTGTCATGTGAAGGTCATGGGGCAGAGTCACAATCCTCACCCACACAAGGTCACCCGCCCTGAGAGGAGCGGGTGTGTGCGTCCCCGGACCCTGAATTTAAATGCAACTGAAATAAAAAGTGTTACCAGAGGAGTGAGTGAGTGGGTTTAAACTGACGCAAACTCCTTAAAGAGAGAGGTGCAATGACACACAAATGGTCGGACCATCAGAGGTAGTATTGAATAATACTGCACCGACCCCATATAATAAGGAATGCTTTCCCGTTTGATTCCTGGACACTGCACACTCAGCTGTGTCCTGACTGTATTGTCAGATGTCGGCCTGATCCTCTGCTCTCCCAATGGATCAGAATATTGTGGGTACTAACT